TTCTGCGTATTTGGGAGCTCGAACTGACTGATATGAGCTCGACTGTCCCGCCACCAGCCTTCTGGGAACGCCCGCTACTGCTGTTCGTGATTCTCCCCGCCGCCCGCTTGTTTGGGATGCGAAGTGTGTGTTTTGTTGCTTCCGGTGTAATGTCGTGTGTGCATCACAGACTGCACTGAAACGGATCGGCAATCTTTGGACGCCACAATGCACGTGAGTACCTCTTTGCCTTTAAGTGCGACAGCGGCAATGGTAGTATACAGTGGTAGTGAGCATCATACCGCCCGCGGGCACCTCAATGGTGATGTGCGCTTTGCGAGGGGGCAAGGGTACTCTTAACACGGAGCTGAACACATTGACGGTGCTATATCACAAGTTACGCAATGTATTGTTTGCAGTGTCGAAACGTTGCGGGAAACACATCGCGTAGTTGATATTACGTTGTTGGCATTGCGTTATTGACATTGCGTTGTTGACGCTTGGCTGTTAACGCTGAGCTGTTGACGCTGCCCTGTTGACGGCGCGCTGCTGACGCGAGGAGGGAGGGAAGGAGGAGGAGGAACATGTCGAGGAAATAATGGGAACATGTTGAAGCAATCTGGGAAGAGGAAAGGGTTGAGGGAAGGGAGGGGGGGAAAGGCACAGAAAAGGTAGGAGGAGGAGGAAAAGGCAGATGCAAGGGAGAAGGAGGAAAAGGCATAGGAAAGAGAGGACCACCAGGAGGAGGAGAAACAGGCTGAGGAAAAGGAGGGGGAGGAGGAGGAAGAGGAGGAGGAGGAGGAGGAGGAGGAGGAGGAGCTGAATGCCTACCCCGAGCTGCGTCCATCGCGCAGCGTCAACAACACAGTGTTTCGACACTGCGTCGCTGATGCGGCGTAACAAGACACGGTGTAAAGAAACCACTACGTTGTTGACATTGGGTTGTGCAGGAACAGCGGAGAGGCACGAGGAGACGAAGGGGAACCCCGAGCTGCGCCCACAGTGCATTGTCAACAACGCAGCGCTTCGACACTGCGTGGGAAAAGACTGCGTGAAACAACACGGCGCCGTTGACACTGCGTTGCGCAGGAGGATGGGAAAGGGAGGATGAGGATAGTAATCATTCCATAGGATTCCAGACCATGGCTCGTGTCCACAGAGCAGTGTCAGCAAGGCAATGTCTCGACATTGCGAAACAGTGCAAGTTTTGCGCTGCTGACACTGCGCTGAGCAGGAGGAGGGGCAAGGATGGAGGATGATAAGACTGACTCCACAGCGCAATGTCAACCAAGCAGTGCTTCAACACTGCGCCACAGCACTGCTTAACAAAAACTGCGATGCCGACTGCGCTGCGCAGGAGGAGGTGAAATGCAGGAGGAGAAGGCGATTGACCCTGAGTTGAATCCACAGCGCAGTGTCAACCAGGGGCTCGACGCGGCACGACAAAAACATGGCGTACCAAAACGCCACGTTGTTGACACTGAGTTATGCTGGAGGAGGGGAACAGGACATGGAACGTAAAGCGAACCATGGGCTGCTTCCACAGCGCAGTGTCAACAACGCAGTGTTTCGACACTGCGTGAGAAAAGAATGCGCGAAAACCGCTGCGCTGATGACACTGCGCTGTGCGGGAGGTGGGGAAGGAAAGGAGGGAGGATGAGAAGGAGGCTGTCCCTGACCTGTGTCCAGTGGAGTGTCAACAAGGAGGGCTTCGACACTGCATTGACAAACGCGGCGTAACAGAACATTGTGTTGCTGACACTTCGCGCCCGCAGGAGGAGAGGACAGTCTTGGAGGGGTAGGGAGGTTTTCTCTCCGGACCCCTCCAGATCCCCCCTTCAGAGAGTTCTGTTGGGTGGGGCTCGGGGGGCACTATTCCTTCGGACCCCTCTTGGGATAGGTTTCCGGTGGGCCAGAACAGATTTTCTCTCCAGAGCCCGTCCAGAGCCCCCTTCTCAGGGCTGGTGGGTGGCGGGCCGGGGGGCAGAGCATTCATTTCTCCAGAAACCCTTCTCTGGGGGGGGGGGGAGGAGGTTACGGAGGGTTTCCTCTCTGGGGCCCTCCCAGAGTCCCCCCTCAGGAAGGGTTTTTGGGGAGGTGATGGGGGGAGATGTTTACCTTCCAGGACCCCCCCTCGGGCAATTGTTCAGAGGGGTCGAGGGATTCTCTCCAGAGCCCTCCCAGAATCCCGCCTCAGAGGGGGCTTCCGAAGGAATGAGGAGGGGTTAGAGCTTAGAACCTACTCTCAGGGGATATGTTGCTTTGGAGGTTCGGGGGTGGTTCTCTCCGGAACCCTCCTAGAAGCCCCCTCCTTTTTGTTTTTGGGGGCGGGGGTGAAGTGCTTTTTTCTTTCAGAACCCCCTTCAGGGAGGGTTTTTGGATAGGTTCGGGGGCTGGGCTTCTCTCCAGAGCTCACCGAAAATCTCTCCTCAGTGTTTTTTTGGCGGGTTAGGAGGGATTGCAATTGTTTATCCTCCAGCGTCACCCCCCTCAGAAGAGGTTTTCGGGAGTGGGTGGGAGAGAGTTTTATTTCTGGAGCCCTTCCCGAACCCCCTCGGAGGGGTTTCTGGAAGGCTTCCCCCGCAGAGCTGAGGAGGCGTTTGTCTTTCCGGAGTCTCCTCCTCCTCCTTCTCCTCGTCCTCTTACCAGGACATATTTCAGAGAAGAGTGTTTTAGGGAGGGCTAGAAGAGGGGGTGTGGGGGGTGTAGACTCCCTCGTGAAGCGAAATGCCAGGAGAAACTAGTTGACCGAAGCTTTCAGCGCGCAGTGCTACGATGTGTCGTTGATTTTGTTTTGGGGGATTCATGCTCTCTCAAGAGAACCCTCCTAGTTCGATCCATACCCACGCTGCTGCCTCCAACTCTGGCCGCACCAGGTGGGGTAGTGCATGATTCTAACTGTGGCCTCCAGATGCTGGATTATTATCCATGCCCCTGTTTCGCTCACCCGTAGAGTTCTAGCAGGAGCAGTGGCATTGACGAAACATCCTAAAATGCAGCTTGACTATGTGGCGCCAGCCGCAATTTCTCTCCTCCACCGTGCACGTAGCCTGGGCGCCGCGTGGCCAGTGCTCCCTTCCTCCATCCTCCATCACCCCTGCCCCTCCTCTTCCTCCCCATGCTCCTCTCTCCCCCCCCTTCTTGCGAACCGCCACAAGTTAGGGGCAGCAGCATGGGCGAGAAGGAGGAGGAGGAGGAGGAGGAGCAAAACGATGGGGGAGGAGGAGGAGGAGGAGGAGGAGGAGGAGGAGGAGGAGGAGGAGGAGGAGGAGGACGAGGAGGAGGAGGAGGAGGAGGAGGCGGAGGAGGAGGAGGAGAGGAGGAGGAGGGCGGAGGAGGAGGAGGAGGAGGAGGAGGAGAGTGCCCTACTCTGCTGTGCCCTCCAGCCCTGCTCTGCCCCCCCCTCCCCCCCCCCGCCGCGCGGGGCGTGCCCGCGGGGATGGCCGCGAGCCCCGCCCTGGCCGTGCCGAGGGGCACCCCGCTGGAGGTGCCCGTGCGCCCGCCCTCGGGCAAGCGCCCGCGCCTGGCCTTCGCGGTGGCCCGGCCCCGCTGCCTCGGGGCGAACGCCTTCGAGCCCTTCGCCGCCGGCGAGGAGGAGGAATCGAGGGGGGAGGAGGAATCGAGGGAGGAGGAGGAGGAGGAGGAGGAGGAGGAGGAGGAGGAGGAGGAATCGAGGGAGGAGGAGGAATCGAGGGAGGAGGAATCGAGGGAGGAGGAGGAGGAGGAGGAGGAGGAGGAGGAGGAGGAGGAATCGAGGGAGGAGGACGAGGAATCGAGGGAGGAGGAGGAGGAGGAATCGAGGGAGGAGGAGGAATCGAGGAATCAATGGAGGAGGATCGGGAGGTCAACGAGCCGCTCGCGGCCGCGAGGCGGCCGCGCATATCGGCTGACCCAGGTTTGCGAGGACCTGCGTGGTATTTTTTTTTGTTGTTCCTGCATTGCAGTTTTTTGGTTTCCTGCTGACCCGGGTCTGGATTGACCCGGGTCCGAAGATCCCCGAGAAGAGCCACTCTGATCCCCACAGCTGGCGTCGAAGGAGAGCTGAGCCCTTCGCCGCCGGCGAGGAGGAGGAATCGAGGGGGGAGGAGGGAGGAGGAGGAGGAGGAGGAGGAGGAGGAGGAGGAGAGGGGAGGAGGGAGGAGAGGGAGGAGGAGGAGGGAGGAGGAGGAGGAGGAGGAATCGAGGGGAGGAGAGAGGAATCGAGGGGAGGAGGATCGGGAGGTCAACGAGGGGCCGCGAGGCGGCCGCGCATATCGGCTGACCCAGGTTTGCGAGGACCTGCGTGGTATTTTTTTTTGTTGTTCCTGCATTGCAGTTTTTTGGTTTCCTGCTGACCCGGGTCTGGATTGACCCGGGTCCGAAGATCCCCGAGAAGAGCCACTCTGATCCCCACAGCTGGCGTCGAAGGAGAGCTGAGCCCTTCGCCGCCGGCGAGGAGGAGGAATCGAGGGGGGAGGAGGAATCGAGGGAGGAGGAGGAGGAGGAGGAGGAGGAGGAGGAGGAGGAGGAATCGAGGGAGGAGGAGGAATCGAGGGAGGAGGAATCGAGGGAGGAGGAGGAGGAGGAGAAGAGCCACTCTGATCCCCACAGCTGGCGTCGAAGGAGGGCTGAGCCCCGCGCAGTGGCCTCCTCTCGGGGGCGGCAGCGTCGGGGGACGGGGGGGATCGGGCAGGCTCGGGGGGGGAGCCATCGACCCTCTTTCGCCCATGGATCGCCGATGGTCCAGGCCTTCCAGATGGGGTCCGAGCAGACGGGGTCGGAGGATTGCGCCGCATCGCCGATACATCGCCGATGCGGATCGACGCGGAGCCCGATTCTCGCCATGCCGACGGCGCCGGTGCATCGATGACATCGCCGATGCATCGGCGATGCATCGGCGATTCATCCGCGATGTATCCGCGATGCCGCGCGATCCTCCGAGCGCCCTGAGCGTTTCGATCCTTTCCCTGTGCACGATTCTGGAGGGGCTTCGCTTGTCGGGATGCTTCTTATGCGGTGTGGTGTTTATATGGATCGCCGAGGAGGAAGCCCGGAGGGAGGCCGACGCGGCGCACGCCGCAGCCGCCGCGGGGCAGGCCGAGGCCGCGCCAGTCCGCCCCGAGGCCCTCGCCGCGGCCGCCCTCGCCACCTCGTCGGCGGCGTTCGAGCGGTACCGCGCCTCGCTCCGGGCAGGCAACGGAGCGCTGCTCAAGCAGTTCCGGACTCTGGTGGCCTGCGAGCGCGGCCTCTCCGGCGCGGACCACTGCCTCGGCGCCCTGGGCCTGGGGCGCTGCGGCGCGGCGGTGGAGGCCCTGCTGCAGCTGGCGGACCTCTGGCTCGAGCAGCAGGGCGCGGCCGCCGCGGGGCCCGAGGGCGGCAGGGGCTCGCCCGGTCCCGCGGGGCCGCCGGAGGGCCTGGAGGCCTCTGGATCTCCCAGCGGGGGCCCGAGTGGCAGGGCGTCGGAGGATCGCGCCGCAGCGGCGGTGCGTCGGCGAGGCGGCTCGATGCGGAGCCCGAGCTCTCCGCGCCGACGCGCCGCCGATGCCTCGGCGGTGCCTCGGCGGCACGTCGGCGGTTCGGCGCAAGCCTCCGACCCCACCATGCGCAGGCCCCCTCTGGCGGGAGGCCTCCATGACAGGCCGCCGCGTGCGAGCTGTTCGAGGAGCTGTGCGCGGCCGTGGCGGAGCTGCCCGAGGCGGCCCCGGGCCTGCAGTGCGCGAGCCCGGAGCTGTACGCGGACGCCCTGCGGGAGCGGTGGAGCGGCAGGGGCGTCATAGCCAGCGACGGCGGCGGCCGCGGCGAGCGCTGGGCGGCGCGCGCCGCGGCCCTCTTCAGGATGAAGGACACCATCTCCTCCACGTACGCCTGGGCCCTGCTGCCGCGCGGGGCGCTGGAGCGCCTCCTGCGCGCCGCGGTCGAGGGGGAGGGCGGCCGCGCGGTGCCCAGGGCGGTGGACCCCATGGCGGGCACGGGGCTGCACGGGCTGCTGCTGCGCGCCGCGGGCGCGGAGGTCGCGCTCGCAGACGCCGTGAGCGGCGGCGACACGCAGGCGGCCGGCGCGGGCCCGCACCCGCGCGGCATCAGCCTCGGCGCTGCGGCGCTCGGGCCGGGGGAGGCCGCCGTCCTCACGCCGGGCATCGTGCCGCTGCTGTGGCAGCCGGTGGAGCGAGTGGACGTCCTCGATGACGGCGAGGAGGCGGCGGCCTGAAGCAAACGGGCCCTGGGGGAGTGTCCAGACCAGTCCAGAAGCTTTGCGCCGGCCACAGCGCGTGAGCAATGTGTGAGCATGTGCACGGAAGCCGATACCTTCAGCACGCCGCCCATGCCTTGACCGCCTGGTGCCATCTGCGAGCTGCACCGCCGTCCCGGCGGAAGTAGTCCGCAAGAGGCTCAAGGGAGCCAGCGGGAGTGGAGACATGGTTTTTGTCCACCGTCTTCGGCCTCCTGGGGCCCTCCACGGATCCCGGGACCATCAATAAACCGCTCAGAACGAAGAGCTGGTCCTGGGGGAAGGCCCTCAGGTCCAAGACTCGTTTCCCCCAGGACCCGTCTGCTTCGTGTCAAAGGCAGCGGCTTGGTGGCGGAGGCATTGCTGCTCTGGTCCTGGCACGCTGGTGGTGCCCATCCTTTTCCTGTCCTTCCCGCCGCCGCCGCCCTCCACGGTCGCAGAGGCCGCGCTGAGGAGGTTCGTTGGCGACTGGGTGCTGTTCGTGGGCGAGTGGCGCGGCTGCACCGGGTCGGCCGCTTTCTTCGATGCACTGGACGCCGGCTGGGACATCGCCCGGGAGGAGGTTTTGCCACGCTGGCCCATGATGGACGACAAGGCCGTGTTGCTGCGCCGCCGCCCCGCGGCGCACAGCGCGCCGCACGCCCACGCGCCAGGAGCGCCCCTGAGGGTCTCGCACTCTCCTTCGGACAAGCTGGAGGTAGCGGATGTCTGGCTCGTGGACGAGGAGAGAGGCATCTCGCTGCGCGTGCTCGCGAAGGCAGGCGACGGCGGCGGTGGCGGCGCCACGCCCACGACGGACGGCGCCGTGGCGCCCGGGGAGACTGGCGCTGTGCTGTGGGGCGCCTCGCGGGTGTTGGTGGACTACCTGCGCCGGGTGGACACCAGGATTGACGAACGATCAACACGCACCCATACCCATAGGGGGGACGGAATGAACTATGGGTGCGTGTTGTCGGATAGGGATCCCCGCTCGAATGGGAGCCTCCCTGGGGGTCCGACAACCCGCACCCATACCCATAGCCAGTCCTTCTCCCTCCGACTTCCCTATGGGTATGGGTGTGTGCTGTTCGTTCGCCAAGGATCCTGGGGCGTGCCGAGAGCATCGTCGAGCTGGGAGCCGGGTGCTTCGGCCTGGTCGGGGCGTACCTCCGGCACCGGCTGCGCAGCAGCAAGATTGTGCACACGGACCTGCCCCACGTGATCCCGAGACTGCACGAGAGTGGAGTCGGGCACGTCCCTCTACAGGAGGAACATTCCCCAATAGTCAAAACATAGTCTGGGGACGATTTTCCTATTATTGTTGAACATTTTGGGAGCATTTTTCGACTATTTCTTATCTTTCGCCCGAAATCCGCCCGTAGGGGGACACGCCCGAATTCACACGAGAGCCTGTGCGCGAACTGGCCGCGGCCGCGCAGCCCGACGGACCCACACGACGGTTCGGCCTGTTCGGAGGGCACCGGCGACTCCCTCGTCATGCCGCTCGCGTGGGAGGACCAGGGGCAGAACGTTCGGGAGGGGAGCGGCTCGGGGCGGGGCGCATCGACCCCCAATCGCCCATGCATCGCCGACAGGGGCTTTGGTCCTCCTCCTCCTCCTCCTCCTCTTTCTCCTCTTTCTCCTCTTCCTCCCTCCTCCTCCTCCTCCTCCTCCTCTTCCTCCTCCTCCTCCTCCTCCTCCTCCTCCTCTTTCTCCTCTTCCTCCTCCTCCTCCTCCTCTTCCTCCTCCTCCTCCTCCTCCTCCTCCTCGCCCAGGAAGGTGCGGATTCGCCATCGGGGGCCCATCGTCGGTCTTTCGCCGATGCATCGCCGATTCCAGCGCGATATTTGCCCCCGCCCTTCCCCCCCCGCGATATTTGCCCACCCACACCCCTCCCCTTCCTGAGCGGGTCCCCGCCGACGGTCGGGAGCGTATGGGTAGCGTGTCGCTCTGCTGGTCCTGGCCCACCACGCTTCGGCGCGACACGCTGTCCGCTTCCGGGTCCCCAAAAGCGTCAACGTCCCGAGGATTTCCGAGCCCCTGGCCACACGCTGAGCGAAAGTTCTTGACCGTATCTCGAGAAACAGACAATGACATGAACATAAAAGCTCGGAGGTCCGCGCGGATTTCTCGGATCGGCGCTGGACCACCCTCCCTCGCGCGCGGAGCGCGCCAGGGGCGGCGCCGGAGTCGCCGCCAGGGGGCTCCAGCGCCGATCCGAGAAATCCGAGCGGACCTCCGACTTGTTATGTTTATGCCATCGTTTGTTCCCCTGGTATTGTTACCCCTCTGAGGAGGCCCCCTCCACAGAGGTTCGCCCCCGAACCTGTGAGGAGGCCCGGTCCGCGCGGATTTCTCGGATCGGCGCTGGACCCCCCCTCCCTCGCGCGCGGAGCGCGCCAGGGGCGGCGCCGGAGTCGCCGCCAGGAGGCTCCAGCGCCGATCCGAGAAATCCGAGCGGACCTCCGACTTTTTATGTTTATGCTATTGTTTGTTCCCCTGGTATTGTTACCCCTGTGAGGAGGCCCCCTCCGCAGAGGTTCGCCGCCACGCGCCGTACGACCTGGTCGTGGCCAGCGACGTCGCGTTCCGCGCCGAGCTCCTGGCCCCGCTGTCCGGGAGGGGCCAGCGCCGCGCCGCCGCGCCTTCCAGACAACGACGACGACGACGAACCGCGAAGACGACGACGACAACCCACGACGACGACGATGACAACAACAACCCACGACCACGACGATGACAACGATAACCCGCGTCGACGTCGACGACGACGACGACGACGACGACGACGACCACGACGACCACGACGACCACGACGACGACGACGACGACGACGACGACGACGACGACGACGACGACGACGACGACGACGACGACGACGACGACGACGGCGGCGGCGGCGGCGGCGGCGGCGGCGACGACGACGACGACGACGACGATGCGCGACGACCGCGAGGGTCTGGAAGGGGGCATCCCCTGCCCCTCCACGAGGAGGGGGGGCCGCCCCTGTCACAGGCGATAGCACGGGGCGTGTTCCAGAGAGGGCCTCGCTGCCTTTCGCTCCACCATCGGGGGCCCCCCAGCGGGGCGGTGACCACACCGCGTGGCGAGTCGGTGGGGATTCGGGGTCACCGCACGGTGTTGGGACTTGTGTCGTTCTCCGAGGATGTCTCGGGCGACTGGGGCCTCCAGGGTCCCAAGGCCGTGTGGTGACGTGCCGTGCGGTGAGGTCTTGGCGGACTTCGAGGTCACCGCCGGGTCTGTCACCGCACGGTGTTGGGACCCCCAACAACAGGTGGGCACCTCTCAGGGGCAACGATAGGGGGGATAGGCACAGGGTGGGATGCATCGACCCCCAGTCGCCCATGGATCGCCGATAGGGGCCCGATAGCCCCAACCCGCCCTGGAAGGCGCGGATTCGCTATCGGGTGCCTATCGCCGATCTATCGGCGATGTATCGCCGATTCCAGGTCGATCTGTGCCTGTCCCCACCCTATCGTTGCCGTTCGACCTCGCCCTTGGCGGGAGGCGGCGCACTCGGCCGGTGGCAGCAAGACAAGGGCGGGCCCGCTGGCGGAAGCAAGGCAAGGCCCCCTGATGAGGGGCAGCGCTGGGATTCAGTCCGGGAGGAACAGTCAAAAACAGCAAAAAATAGTCTGGGGACGATTGTTGGATGATTTTTGAAGATTTGTTGGGGTATCTGTCACTTCTCGTCCACAACCCGCCTGTAGGGGGACATGCCCGACCTAACGCTGGGAGGGGGATCGGCTCTGGGGGGGAACCCTCGACCCCCAGTCGCCCATGCCTCGCCGACAGGGGCTTCGGTGCCGCGCCCCGCCCCAGGAGCGTGCGGACTCGCCATCGGGGGCCCAGCGCCGTTCCAGCGGCGACGCATCGCCGGTTCGAGCGATATTGGCCCCCCTCCCCCCCCCCGCCCCCCCCCCTCCTCCCTCCCCCTCCTCCCTCCTCCTCCTCCTCCTCCGCCTCCTCCTCCTCCGCCTCCTCCTCCTCCTCCGCCTCCTCCTCCTCCTCCTCCGCCTCCTCCTCCTCCTCCTCCTCCTCCTCCTCCTCCTCCTCCTCCTCCTCCTCCTCCTCCTCCTCCTCCTCCTCCTCCTCCTCCTCCTCCTCCTCCTCCTCCTCCTCCTCCTCCTCCTCCTCCTCCCCCCTCCCCCCCCCCCCGCCCCCCACCCCCTTGAGCGGGTCGCCGCCTACCGTCGGGAGTTTCTGGGTAGCGTGTCGGGGCTGAAAAAAGAGGCTCGGGCGCCCAACATCCCGCCCCAGAGCGCGCGGACTCGCTGTCGGGGGCCCATCGCCGATCTGTCGGCGAGGCATTGTCGATTCAAGCTCGATGTTGCCCCCCCCCCCCCCCACACGAGCTGCCCCTCATGTCAACCCTTCTTTAGGTCTCGGGGTTTCTGGAGGGGTCCGCATGGCTCCATCGCTGGTGTGCCATCTGCGACGGTCTGCGCAGCACACTCGTCGCTGCGGCCCAGCGCATACAGTGGAGGCCCGTGCCAAGAAACATCCCGCTTGCCTCCAGGGGGCCGTGAGTTTCTTAGGTTTCGATGGTTATGTTGTGGAAGGCGTGACGTTCCCACACCGAAAATCAATGGACGTCCTGGGGTCTCAGGGTTGGGTTTTTTGTGGAAGGTTTCTTGTGGTCGGGCCCCTATTGTATTCGAGGAATCGGTCAGGGTGGCGCCTGCCGCAAAAGGGTCCTTGGGCCTGATTCTGCACACCTCGCAGACTTGTAGACGGAGTGACGCTGCTCAGTACGTGTTGTAAGTGAACGTGCACTCGCCAGGGCCTGAACCCGGATGCTCACCACGCCCTCACCATGGTATCAGTTTCTCCTCTGGCTGCCCTCCACAATCACTCAACATCCAAATCACGCAAAGGCACTCCGACGGCCCAGAATAGCACCACGACTTCGCAGGATGGCGCAAGGGTGCTCCAATATGTTTCCCGAAGCCTCACAAATCTCCAAGATGGCCCAGGCTCGCTTGCAATGCTGCCCAACCTGGCCTCCAGGCTTTCCGCCAGGGAGCCAAACCATGTTGTGCTACCTATGGATCTGCAATGCAAGCCGCACGTGCGTCTCTGGATACAGTCAAGACGCTGAAATAAGGAACAGTTTGAGTTCGGAAGGGGCTCGATGTTCCTTAGGTTCATCCAGTGCTGTCCCTCTCGCCCTCCTCGGGCACGGAGGCGCTTTTAGGGCCAAAAATGGGCTTCGTTCCTCATTTAGCGTTCCTTCTTTCAGCGGCCCGATTGTATCTTATGGACCTGTCATGCAAACCGCACGTGCGTCTCTGGATATGCCATTCGTCTGCCTGCCTTGATCCTGAAACGCCCCAGGCCGGCTCGAAGAAGGCCCCCCCCGGGGACCCGAGAATGACCCGCAGGCGGTCCCCGGAGGGCCCCCGGTGCCTCCCCGAGCTCCCAAGACGGATGGCCCATCTGGGCCCCAACATTGCCACAGCTTGCCCCGAGAGACGCCAGTCTGACGCCGTGGGGGTCCAGGTGGGCCCTCAGACTGCGACGTCTCTCTGGTCCGACATCGGTTCAGCATGTTAAGAAGAGGCCGCAGGTCATTATGTCCCTCCTGCACACAGCGCCTCTCGATTTGCCGTTTCGCGTTCCGCTTTGCATCTGCACATCCGAAGGCTCTGCTTGTGCGCTTTTGGGTCCGTTCCTCTGGCCCCAACCTGTGACACGTTCCCTCAGCTAGGAGATATGAAACGGTGCGCTTCCACTCTGATTTTTTGCCCTGGGGAGAGCGAGCAGCCCACGCCTAGAGTAAAACTGTGGCTCTGATGACTTGTTCGATTTTTTGTGGAGCTAGCAGGAGTCCTGGGGCCTGGACCTGCTAATTACACAGGGTCCGTTCGATCACAGGGAGGGAGGAGGGGGGGGACCCCACCCCGCTAGTCTGGAGCTAAAGAGTGAGAGGAACGAGGAGTCGGTGGAGCCTTGAGCAAGCGCGCCAGAGACATCACAAGGACGGCGCCAGCCATAGCACTGACACAGGGACGTTGCAAATCGTCATAATGCTAGCGCCCGCGGGAACTTGATCAGCCAGTAAGGCCCCCCCACCGGCGATACCCTTGAGATCCGGATCACACATAGAATGGAAGGACGAATCGTATTCTTGATAAGCTCAGAGGAAAGCAAATCAAGTCACCACGCAATGAACGGGACCCGAAGGAGCATAAGAGGTAGTGGAGACATCAAGGTACATAGAACATCCAAATGAATCTGTCAGATGGCATCTCAAGAGCCCCACATGACATAATGCCTCATGTAGACAGGGAAGCCGCATATTCATGCACTGGCAAACAGAAATTCGTGGCCCCTAGTAATGCCAAGGGTAAGTATAACGATTGATCATTGGACCATTGCACATGTCATACGATACGATCAGCGCATCCTGGAGGATCCCGTTGGAAATTACATAGCTTTAGGCATATCGAAGGAACATGTGGCTTCATTTGCACCCTCAGCGACATAATACCCGAAACAGCTCCTCGGAGCACTAGGCATATCATTACACAGAGTATTATATAAGGTGAAGGGTTGTACATAGCGTACTTTAGAGAGTACTCAAGGGGAAACCGTGAGGGACACCATGATTGAGATCATAGATGATACCATAAGGGAGATCACATATGGGACCATAAGGGAGACCATAAAGAGAGATCACCCCCCTCAACAAAGACTCCAGTGGGTAACCCCCCGAGGTTGGGCGTCGCCGTTTCCCGTTTTCTCGGGGGGTGCACTACGTCTTCGCAGGATCTTTCGTCGCCGTTTTTTCCAGGGTTCCTCGGCGTTCTTTGGGGCGCGTGATGAGGACCGCGGCTTGCTCGCGCGCCTTCCTTGGGGCGCGTGGCCTCATGGGGGGCGCCACCGAAGGCCCCTGTGTCAGGGTTCACATATGTCCCCTGTCAAATTTGGGCACACGCACACACACAAATACACACACGCACACACATCACACGGTTCGTGGCCTCGTAGGGAGCTCCACCGAAAGCCTCAATGGCAGGGCTCACATGCGTCCCAAGTCCAGTTTTGGCACACCCCTCACACGGTTCATGGCTTCATAGGGGGATTCAGGGAGTTTCCCCGAAGGCCCTTGTGGCAGGTTTCGCATGCGTCCCGGTAAGTGTTTTGGCGTGTCGTCGTCGCTGTTTTGTTCGAAGAGGTTCGCTGAAGATTTGCGTTTGGCTCGCCGTTTTTTGTTGGGGTGGGTTTGCGTGGGGCGAGTCACGTCGCCAACCCTCGGTGACACTCCGTAAGTGCGCAGGAATTGACTTTTCTTCGCTGGTCTCTCCGAGCGGATGGGTCAGATAAGAATAAACGGAGTGACAAAGAGATACCATGTGGAATACTCGAAGGTACACAATATGGAAGACCATACGGAAGACCATCAAGCAGATGATAAGAGAGACAAGCAGGGAGCCCATAGGAAAGACGATAAGGTAGACCAGAACGGAGACCAGAATCGATACAGGCCGATATACATTTAGATACATTAATATACATACATGTGTATGTATGTATGTATGCATGTATGTTTGTATGCATATTGTACATCTGTGTGTATACATAATGTGTGCCTGGGTGCCAGGGGCACGGGGCCCGCGACCAGCACACCCTCCCGGACTTCCTCCCCTTTGGAGCACCCCGCGTCCGCGGCCTCCCCCGTCTCCCCCCGGCCGCTCAAAACAGCTCCAGGGGCACGGAACACGCAAGCAGAGTGGGCCAGGACGGCCCAAGAGCAGCTCGAACATCCCCAAGAACTCTCAAGACGGCCCAGACAAACCCTTTGACGGGCCCAGCGGGCCCGAAGAGCAAACTTTGGAGCCCCCACTGGAGACAAGAATCATTGATTTCCCATTAGTTGTTGTATAACTTTCGCAGATCTGATTTTCCTCCCCTCAGGGCGCATACGACGGGCTCAGAGGCCCCCAAGCTCGCCCTCAGATGGCCCGACAGAGCCCCAAGAGGGCCCCAGGAAGGACCCAAGATGGGCCCAAGATGAGCTCAAGATGGCCCCAGTAGGGCCTCAAGAGCCCCCAAGATGGCCCCAGGATAGCAGAAGAGACACCCAAATGGTCCCAAAATGGCTCCAAGAGCTGTCCAAGAGGGCCCAGGAAGCCCCCAAGACGGCTCCGACGCGGCCTTCCTCCCCCCCATGACCGCATCTCAAGCATGCCTCCGAGAGGCTCCCAGACGGTCCACAGACGGCTGGAGGTGGCTGGGAAAACTAGTCAATTATATATGCTCTCAAGAAGCCAAAGTCAACGAATTTTAGGCACTGCCGGTGCGACACGGATGGGTTCTCTGGCCTTCGATGCACCGTGGTTTGGCCTTGGTGGCGTGTGCTGCAGAGCCAAGCTCGGGCACCCATCCTCTTTGTTCAGCTCATCCTCCAGTTCTCGGGCGGATTTAGCGAGCGCAAGAAGCGCTGAGCTTCCCCTACACGTCGCCAGGATCCAAAAAGTAAATTGCCGCAGGTCCCACTATCAACCCCGACGGAGGTCCATAATCGCCCCCTGCATGCCCCATTGGCAACTTGCGATGCGAGTTCTTTTGGGCGCGGCTGGAACCGAAGCGCGTGCGAAGCGCGCGTGTGGTTCTAGTGATGCGATATTTCAATTTCGGGGACCATATGGGAGACCATTCGGGAGACCACGAACCGCTGATTACGGATCAGGAAAGGCTCACACTTGGCCTTAGAATTTAGCATGGCGAAGAGCCCGACCCAAATTGTTTTCGCACAGCGACGATCACTCACGACCCCGCGTAACTCGGGACGCGGGTGGAGTTCCCTGTGGGGCACGATCTTCGTGAACGGTGTGTTGGAATGGACACGGGGACGCCATGCAAGTTCCTCCAGTGAAGGATGCGCTGAAATGGGCGTTGAGACGTCAGGCGAGTTCCTCCACTGGGACATAGGTGGAGCTCCCTATGGAGCACGAACCTCGAGAGGGGTGTGCCAGAATGGGCGCGGGGACGCCATGCGAGTTCGTCCAGTGGGGCCATAGGTAGAGCTCGATCTGCGTGAGGGGTGTGCCGAAATGGGCGTGGGGACGCCATACGCGTTTCATACGAGGGACGATCTTCGTGAGGAGGGTGCCCAATTTGACGGGGGGACTCCATGCGAGTCCTTGCACTGGGGACACGGTTGCAGTCCTCTGCGAAGCACGATTGGAGCACAAAACCTTTTTTCGGGGTGTGCGGAAATAATGGAGGCACGCCAGGCGAGTTCCTCCATTGGGGACATAGGCGGCGCTCCCTGTGGGGGCACGATCCTCGTGATTGGTGTGTCGGAGTGGGCGCGGGGATGCCATGCGAGTTCCGCCATTTGGGCCCCAGGTGGTGATCTCTATGGGGGTAAGAGCTTCGTGAGTGGCGCTTCAGACTGGGCATGCGGAGAGCAGAGGCACGTAACGGAAGAGGAGGAGGGAGTGGAAGTGGCAAGAAGGTGGGTCATGGCGTTGTGGATTCGAGACGAGGATCCAACATAGGAGGATTTGCAAACATAGGGACCTTTACGGCAAAGGTCTGCAGGGAATGCAAAGGAGATGAAGGAACATGCAAGACATATTAGGACGAGTTCGTGAGGAGCGCTACCCAGCGCTCGGGATGTATTGAATAACCCGAGAGGGGTCCCCATTATCCTCCAGAGACTGCGGGCGGGCCCACAGGCTTCAAGCTTGGTCAGGAGACGGTCGTGGCCTCCGTGCTTACCAGGCGCGTGCCGTGAGAGGCTGAAGGCCTGCGCCGATCGGGGGCCCCGCGGATTCAAGACGATGAGCTGGCTCAGTTCGCACGAGACCGTGGCCATCATAGCGATCGTCGACCGCCCTGGGGAGACGGCCGCGTTCGAGGCGGCGGCTTCAGTGGCAGGCCGGCCGGGCCATGCCCGTAAAGGGGGTTGCGCTTGTGCCTTCCCTTTGCCTTTCTGCGGGCTCGCCTTCAGAACCCGCGACGAGATCTCGCCGCTCTTTCCTCTCACGTTTGTCTGCCCACGCACGGGCTCTCGATGTCACGAAAGTCACGCGATGACCCGGCTCTTTCGGTGGCGCCGGCCAGGGCGGACAACTTGGCTCCATTCCCGGTTCCCAGTCGTGAGAGCGTCCTTGGCCAGACGCTGCGGCCAGCGCTAGAATCGGCTATACGTGAGAGTGACCTGTCGCTGGAGTGACCTCTGGTGTGGGCTCACTGGGGTCCCCCGATCGCCGAACGCGATGCCACAGCAGCGCCTTGCTCGCTTGGGTTTGGCCCCCCGCGGCCCCCCGAAAGACGCGCACCAGAGGTCGTTCTTGCCAGGGCCACTCCTTGCGCGTAGCCGACGGAAGCCCTCGTCGTCCCTCGCCCTCGGCCCCCCCCCCCCCCGGCCCTCTCTCAGCTGTTGCTCCCCCCCCCCCTGCCTCCCAGGACATCCACTGTCGCGATCTTCCGGGCGATTCCCGCAACCCTCGACCCCTTCCCTTGGGTCATGGAGCTCCTCGGCCCCACGATTCATCAACTCCTCGACCCACCTCCTCCTCCTCCTCCTCCTCCTCCTCCTCCTCCTCCTCCTCCTCAACTCGGCTCCTCGGCTCCCCCGACTTCCTCGGCTCCCACATTCCTGTTTCCTGAACTCCTCGACCCCACAACTCCTCGACCCCCTCGGCTCTTTTTCCTGGACAAGATTCTGATTGTCCTGAAAACAGCAGCGGTCCTCTAGAGGCTAGAGCTGAGGAGAAAGAGCATCGGGATTGAACAGGTCAGCCCGCCGACGTTAAGTGAGGATCCTGCTCCTCCTCCCCCCCCCCCGCGCTCCTCAGCTTGCAAGCATAGCGTGTCGCCATGGCCGCCGCCGCGACACGCTAAGCCTGAGTTCGGCTCCTGACTGCACAGCCAGAGCGCTGAAGCAAGGGCCTCTTCGGTTCCTGGAGGGGCTTTGACTTTCGGGTCGTTACCTGGGTCTGGGTCGGGGAGCCTGTTCGTGGCCAGGGGCCCGCCGAGGCCCGCTCAGCCCCTCCGTTCCTGACTCGGCGCTCCTTCTGGTGGCACGACGGCTGCACTCTTCCCGGCCTTCTCCGCCAGGCTGGCGGTTCGAGAGGTGCCTGACCCACGAGCTCAGCGTCGACGGCTTCGTGGGGCCGGGGGGCAGAGACGCCGCGCTCGTGCGAGCGTGCCGCGACCTGGGAGGCAGCTGCGGGGAGGAGGAGGAGGAGGAAGAGGAGGACGAGGAGGAGGAGGGGGAGGAGGAGCAGGAGGAGGAGCCGGAGCAAGAGCGGGAGGAGGAGGAGGAGGAGGAGGAGGAGGAGGAGGAGGAGGAAGCGGAGGACGAGGAGGAGGAGAAGGAGGAGGAGGAGGAGGAGGCGGAGGAGGAGTTGGAGCAGGAGCAGGAGGAGGAGGAGGAGGAGAAGGAGCAGCAGGAATAATCACAAGAGGAGGAGGAGGAGCAGGAGGAGGAGGAGCAGGAGAAACAGCAGGAGGAGGAACAGGAGGAGGGGGTTGAGATCGAAGTGGAATGGATAGCCCCCCATCAGGAAGCCGGTTCCGGTTTCGAGTTCGTGTCGCGCGTGCGGGCGAGGCGAAGCTGCGTGGGCGAGCAAGAGGAATGAACCCTTCGCGGCGAGGACAGAAGCCCGCCCCACTCGGGCCAGGTGGCGGGAGGGTGCCAGGGCTGTCTTGCCGGTGTCCCGATGGTGTCCCGTGGTGTCCCGTGGTGTCCTGCGGTGTTTCGATTGGTGTCTCGATGGTGTCCTGGCGGTGTGTCGATGGTGTCCCGCCGTGGTATCCCGATGGTGTCCCGTGGTGTCTCGAGGTGTCCCGCGGTGTCCCACGGTGTCCCTTGGAGTCCCGTGGTGTCCCATGGTGTCATGAGAGATCGATAGTGAGATTGATCGTGAGATCGATTTTGAGAACGATAGTGAGACGATAGTGAGACCGATGGTGAGATCGATAGCGAGATCGCTAGTAAAATCGATAGTGAGATCGATAGTGATACCGATAGAGGTATGGACAGTGAGTTGAATTTTGACAGTGGTCGTGAGATCGATCGGGAGTTTGATAGTGAGATCGATCGTGAGATCGAAAGTATGGTCGATGGCGAGATCGATAGTGAGGTCGATTGTGAGGTCGAATGCGAGCTCGTTAGTGAGACCGATAGCGAGATCGATAGTGAGAGGGAAAGTGCCATCGATTGTGAGATCGACAGTGAGATAGATTGTGCGCTCGATAGTGAGGTCGATCGTGATATCTACAGTGATATGTATTGAGTGAGACGTTGGTTCCTCCCCCAGTGGACCTCCTGATCACCCGACAGGTGGTCGGGTAGGTCTTAGTATATCCTTGTGCGTCGCACGCGTGGCGGGTGAGCTCCGCGCGGTACTCGGGTCCTTGGTCAAGGATCACCCCCAGGGCCCACCTGTTTTGCTCCGACTTTGCTACGACGGAGTCCAGTTCCACTTGCGTGCTCTTCCACTTTTTCATCAATCAGTCCAGCAGCATCAGCTTCACGCGCCAGTCACTGGCTACCAGAGCGTTGACGACCACGCCAGCATCTTTTTCTTCTCCTGCTTGGCGTCGCCCTCGGGGTCGAGGCCATCCTTGGTGGATTTCAACTTGATGCCGTCGAGATCCTGGCCCTCCCTGATGCGGACCTCCACCTCAAGTAAGCTGAGCTTCTCGTGACCCAGCTCCGCCGTCACCACCCTCATCTCGTTCTCCTTGACCTCGCCCTCGTCGAAGGCCGCCTCCAGGGCCTAGGCATGGCGCAGGCACTCCATCTGATCCTGGGCCTTCTCTACGACCAGCAGGCAGTGCTCATCGAGGTCTTCAGCCCAGCACGTGGCCCCCATGCCGACGCCGTTCAGCGAGACGATCTCGTTCGTCCCCCTCGGTGCATCACGATGGTCGCAGCCCCCCGCGCACGACCACCGCGTGCACATTCGTTTTGACCGTCAGCCTAGGGAATGGCGGGAGGGATGCCAGCCCTTATTCCAGCTCCAGCGCCTGCTCCTTCCAGCCGCCGTTCCCGCGGAGGCCGTGAAAGCCCTGCTCCTGCCTGTCGATGCCGAGCTGCTGGCCGAAAGCTGCGGCATGGACCCGCCAGGCCTCCCACGCCGCCAACTTGGCCTCCATCCTGTCCCCCTGCCAGCGCCTCAGCCAGCGCCTTCGCGTCGTCGCGCTCCTGCGCCATTCCCCCCGTGAGACACTGCAGACTCGCGCGCTCCACGGGGCCCCCGTCGCGCTGGCCGACCATGGGCCCCCGCTTGGCCTCGCAGGCCGGTCCGCGCCACCAACCCTTCGCTCGTCTCGCCACAGCTCGAGCTGCTCCTCGCCGGGTCGGCCTCGCCTTCCTCGACCAGCGCCGCCCCGAGGCCCGCCGTGGTCCCCGGGCCTTCGGCAGCGCGAGAGGCGGCCTCTCGCCGCCCGCAGCGTCTCCTGGAGCTCCGTCGGGTGCTCCGCGGCGAGCCGGGGGCCCTTCGCGTCGCGTCCCGTGTGCATACGGAGGTGCTCCGTGATGCCCGCAGCCTCCCTGGCCGTGCGGGCGTGGGCCACGCGGCACCGCAGGGCGCACCGCGCTGCCACGTCCCATGCCGCGCGCGCGCCCGATGGGCCCCGTGAGGGCCTGCCGTGTGTGTGAGCGTGTGCAGCAGCAGCAGCAGCAGCAGCAGCAGCAGCAGCAGCAGCAGCAGCAGCAACAGCAACAGCAGCAGCAGCACACGAGCCCAAGCAGCTACTGAGGAGGAGGAGGAGGAGGAGGAGGAGGAGGAGGAGGAGAAGGGTGAGGGGGAGGAGGACTCCTGCCTTGGACGCCCGCAGTGCCCCGCCCCCTGTCCCACCTGTCCCCTCCCTGTTCCCTCCCGCTCCCCATTCCCCCTTGCCCCCTCTCCGCCCACCCGTGCACCTCCTTTGCCACCCTGCTCACCCCGCCTTCCACTCCTCCTCCACCTCCTCAAAAAAAGGGCGCCTGACATGCAGTCCTTTGGGTACACTCACACCTCACAAATATGTCCGCCGGTACACACCAGAGGATGTATACAGCTCACAGGGCCAAGAAAATTGGCAGTATCAGAAAAAATGGTTGCGAGCACTAGGACGCAGACGGACGGATCAGCATGGCAAGACGCAGACGGCTTCACAATTGTTGCTCAGGCGACTCCCGCGCTGACCAGCTCGCCGACTCCCGCACCGACCAGCTCGCAGACTCCCGCGCCGACCAGTCCACCGACCCCTGCACCGACCAGCTCACCGACCCTGGCACCGACCAGCTCTCCGACTCCCGCTCCGACCAGCTCGCCGATTTCCTCACAGACCAGCTCACCGACTTCCGCGCCGTCCAGCTCGCGGACTTCCGGGCCGACCAGCTCGCCGACTCCCGCGCCGACCAGCTCATCGATTCCTGCATTGGCCAGCTCGTCGGCTCATGCGCTGACCAGCTCACCACCTCCTACATCAAAGTGCTCACCGACTCCCGCACCGTCCAGCTCGCCGACTCCCGTGCCGACCACCTCGCTGACTCCCGCAACGACCAGCCCCCTGACTTCCGCACCGGCCAGCTCGCCGATTCCTGCACCAACCAGCTCGCCGACATCCGCGCCGACCGGCTCACCGCTTCCCGCGCCGACCAGTCCACCGACTCCTGCACCGACCAGCTCACCGACCCCTGCACCGACCAGTCTCCGACTCCCGCTCCGACCAGCTCGCCGATTTCCGCACAGACCAGCTCACCGACTTCCGCGCCGTCCAGCTCGCCGACTCCGGCGCCGTCCAGCTCGCCGACTCCGGCGCCGGCCAGCTCGCTGACTTCCGCGCCGTGCGGCTCGCGGACTCCCGCGCCGACCAGCTCGCCGACTCCGGCGCCGGCCAGCATGGCGGCTCCCGCACCGTCCAGCTCGCCGACTCTCGCGCCGACCAGCTCGCCGACTCCTGCACCGACCAGAGCTCAACGACTCCAAGCCCGACCAGCCCACGGAATCTGGCACCGACCAGCTCGCCGACACCCGCACCGACAAGCTCGCCGATTCCCGGGCAGAGGACGGCTGCCGATGCGGCAGAAGATGTTGCAGGAGGCAGGCGAGGCTCTGGAAGCCACCATCGGGGGCGCGCAGGGCGTGGCGGAGCAGTGACGCCCGTGAGGCCCCCCCCCTCTCCGCTCCCTTCCTCTCCCTCTCTCTCTCTCTCACCCCTGGTGCATGCCTGAGTGTTCAGAGTGTTTTGTTTTGTCTTGCTTCTGCGGGTCAGCCCGCACGTGCTAGGTCCAGCTCTGGGCGTGCATGTCTGCTGGGCCTTTGGGCCCTGCGCGACTTAACCATACATACTCCTCTTATTTCAGACCTTAGTGACTGTGGTAGGTGCGGTGCTGCACTCCTTGCAATACTTCGCCTTCTACTGTAGGTGGTTTTCCGACTTGTGGAGCCTCGTGCTGTGATCAGGTCGTGGCCAGTGCTGTTTTGTTTTTCGCTCTCTCTCTCTCTCTATTGTTCGCCCTCTCTCTCTCTCTCTTTCTCTCTCTCCGCCTCTCTGTTTCTCGCTCTCGTTCTGTTCTCTTTCGTCCTTTTCTCGCTCCCTTGTCTCTCCTTTTCACCTTAGGGCTGATAGGAATGTGGGCGTATTTTCTATCATTGTGCATGCCCCCGCCGCTGCGGCGTGTCGTTCCTTCCCTCCCTCTCCTCTCCCTCCTCCTCCCGGCGTCTGTGTGTGATGCTTGCTTTTCGGCTCAGTAGGCCAATTGGGGATGTCCGCACAGCTTCTTTGTCCGCGCTCCTATGCCGTGCTGCTCTGCAGTTGTTCACCTTGGGTAGGCTCACCTGGGCGATCTTCTGGATCTGCTGATCAGTTGGGCACTAATGGCAGTCGTGTGCAGCGGTGGAGGAGGGGGGGGGAAAAAAACCTCCTCCGCCTCCTCCTCCTCCTCCTCCATTCCCGCCCCGCTCTCCGTTCCCTTTCCCCCTTATCCCATCCTCTCTCTCGCTTTCTCTTCTCTGCTCATGTCCCTGCCCCCATTCGCTTTTTTGCCCCCCCTTCCATCACTCCATGTGTGGGCAAGCGGGGAAGGCAAGTCAGGGGAGCGAGAGAGTAGGAACAAGTTTGGCACGCGGAGAAAAATATACATCGCCAGGTTACCGAATCGTCGTCTACGAGATGAAACGAGTCCCCTGAGCGTCGCTGCAAAAAGTTGTGCGCCCTCGGCATCGTCATCTTTACCCCGCTTCTTTTTTCGCTCACCCATCCTACACCTCCTCCTCCCCTCCTCGCCCTCCTCTCCCCATCCTGCTCTTCCGTCTCCCCGTCCTTGGCCTCCTTTTCTCCTCTTTGCTGGCAGCGGTCTCTAGCAAACAAGCATTTCTCCACATCCTCATCGGCCTTCTCCTCCTTAGCCCAGATCGCTAGCCGAGCCCACTGGACGCATGCGGGCGCGCTGCGACGCAGACGCTGGTGCGTGTAGGCTCGGTCGAGAAGGAAGGGGGATGAGCAGCATCAGGAAGAGGGAGGATGAGGAGGAGGCGATGGCTGGTAGGCGAACTCATTGGGTGCTGCCGCACAGGATTGTTGAACGAGTCTAGCAAAATAGCATTGCCCTGATCACACCATGAGTGCATCCTCCCACGGCGGTTGATGCTGACGAAGGAGGAGGGGAATTATGGGGTGGGGGGGCGGTGGCCAGTACGCAAACGAAGAACCCCCCGAACAGAGCAGCACGCACCACGACAGCCACGACAACGGACGGGGCGCGCTCAAGCGCCAGCGAATGCTTGGCCCTCCGTCCTCGGGATGCCCCATCTGGATGAGGCAATCCTCGAGGAGAGTCCTCCTCCTTGAATGGGTGGGAGGAGCGAGGATCTCCTCGAGGGAGAAATCTCCTCGAGAAGGAGCTCCTCCAGGGTGGGTCTCCTCGAGGAGGGATCTCCTCGAGGAGATTCCTCCTCGAGGAGATTCCTCCTTCTCTGGATGGGAGATCTCCGCCACCCCCGCTTCCCCAGGACGCCCCTTTCTGGGCTCGCGTTCCCTGGGGCTCCTCGCCCTCCTCGCAGGCCCGCAGTGGCACCGGGGGAAGGCGGAGGACGAGGAGGGGACCCCCCCACCCTCGAGGATGGGGGATCTCCTCGAGGGGATTCCTCCGCCTCCTCTTCGAGGGGGCGGGGGGGGGGGAAACGAGGGATCACGAGTTACAGTGAGGACGCCGAAATGAGGAGCAGTTCGGGCTTGGAAGGGGCTCGCTGTTCCTCGGGCCCTTTCGTGGTTGCTCCTCTGGCACTTCGGGCGCACCCCGGCGCTTCCTGGAGCCTAAAGGGGGCATCGTTCCATGTCTAGCGTTAAGTCGGGCCTGTCCCTCTACAGGAGGAATATTCAAAAATAGTACGACACATAGTCTGGGGACGATTTCTGGACTAATTTTGACTACTTTGGAGCATTTGTCTGCTATTCTTCATTTGTCTGCCAAAATCCCCCTGTAGGGGGACATGCCCGACCTAAATCTAGCGTTTCTTATATGGTAGTAGCTCGACTGGAAGAGAGAGCACCCAGTCCCAAATGCTGGCCCTGGCAGCGCTTTGGCCCCAGACGGGCCCTCCAGCTGTGCGGCGACGGCGACGGGGGGAAGAGGAGGGGAGAAGCGGGCAGACGACGAGGATTCTCGTCATCCCTCGTTCTCCGACCCCCCCCTTCTCTCCGGGACTCCCACTCGCACTGTGTGCCATTTGTTACGTCGGGCATGTTCTCCTACAGGCGGATTTCGGTAGGAAAGTGAAACATAGCCAACACAAATTTGAAAGATGGTCCAACGTAGCCGAAGCATGGTCCCCTGACTACTTGTTGCATGTTTTTTGCTTGTTTTTTATTTCCCCCCCGTAGAGCGACATGCCCGACGTAAGCCATCTGACCGCCCGCCGCGGCTGCGGCCTCCGGGCAGGGCCAGCCCTCGGGCCCGGCGCCTCTCCCGCGAGCCGCGGCTGCAAGCAGACAGCCAGGGCACCGAGGTGAGGGCCGCAGGGGGCTCGGGGGCGGGGGGCTCGCGCTTCGGGGTCGGTCCTCAGATTCGTCCCTCCTCCTCCCAGGCCTCCTCCTCCTCCTCCTCCTCCTCCTCCTCCTCCGTAGCCGTTTTGGCGCAAGATGTCTCTGTCCCTAGGGCAGGGAGTGGATACCTCCAGCCCGAGGCCAGAGCAGGAGGATCACGTGAGCTCCTGCTGGAGCAACGACTCGTCTCTCGCACCAGCACAGGCTCGCGCGGGTAAGCGGAGGCATTTCCAGTTCCTGCGCGCGTCTGTGCTCAGATGGGGCCCGTGCGCGTCGGCGCTGCTGCGGATGGCGCTGGGCGCGCTGATGACGGGCACCCCGAGCAGCACCGCATCAACTCCGACGGCGCAACGAGCGCAGCAGCAGCTCCAGACGGTCCACCTCGTCCGAGGGCAAACGCCGCTCGGACCGCTCGCGGGGCTCCGGACGCCGCGCCCGTGCCCGACGCCTGCAGGAGGGCAAGAGCGGCGGAGGGCGCGCGTCTGGCGCAGATCATGGGGGCCGTGCTGCTGATGGGCGCCGCGCCAACAATTTCTCTCGCTCGGGGTCGCAGCTCCGCCAGCGCGCCGCGGACGGACGCCGCTGTCCAGATGGAGCGCGACGGCCTCGACTTCGACCTGCTCCCTACGTTCCCGACGCAGGAGCAGCGGGCCCCCCCGACGCCAGCACACTTGGCGAAGCGGCTGGGGCCCCCGTCGCCGCCGGTGGAGGCGAGCCTCCTGCCGCCGCTGCTGGGGGCGACGGGTGGCGGGCCTACCGCGCCAGCGGCGGCGCCCCGCTGGGCCCCGCGCGTGGGCGCCCGCCCGCGCGCGCCCCTGCTGAGCATGATGCTCGCCACGCTGCGCCTGGCCATGCTTGTGGGGCGCCCCTGCAGCCGCTGGCCTCGGAGTTGGCGGTGGAAGAGGGACGAATGCAGCCACCAGCTCGCAGACCGCCGTGCTCCAGCAGGCGCGAGCCGCCATCACCTCCGCCGTCGCCGGCGCCGCGGTCTCCAGCGTCGACGCCGCGCCCCCGTCGGGTCTCGCCCAGATCCAGGGCATCATGGAGGTGAGGGTCGGCGCCATCGAGGTCCGCGCGCAGGGAGCCGAACATCAGCAGCAGCAGTTGGAACAGCAGCTGCGCGCCGACATCGCGAAGATCCGCGAGGAGATGGGTCTCCTGGTCAAGACGGAGCCGCTCCCTGCCCCCGCTGCTGACCTGGCGGCGGTCGTCCTCCGATGCAAGGAGGAGCTCCCTCAAGCGGCCTTCATGCAGGCCATCGCCCCCGCCCCCTCCGACGCGGGCCTGCAGGGCGACGCCTTCCTGGTCGACGCGGGGCCCCTCGTCAAGCGCTGCGCTATCCGTTTCAAAGGTCCCCCCGAGCTGGGCGCCCGCCGCGCCGACAAAGTGCTGGGCTGCATGCGACTGGGCCGAAGGGAATGGCGCAAGCCGAAGTCCACCGCACTTGCTGGGCACGTCGTCGACATCTACGTGGGGGCCGACCAGAACCGCAAGCAGGTGGCCCACGAGCTCCTCCTCAAGAGGCTGGCCTTGGCGTTGGGCCGCCGGGTTGAGCCGTCCAAACGCATCTTCATCGACGAGCAAGGGCATGCCCTCACCTCGTCCTGGAAGGCCTTCCTCCGAGTCTCAGTCGCCAGCCCCGCCGCCACCCCGCAGGTCGCGTGGTCGCCCGCCGCTCTCCAGGCCATCGGGCTGCGACGGGAGGGCTTCGGACCTACAGTGGAGGCAGTGCTTGCGCCACAGCCTGAAGATTGGTCTCTTTAGCACCTTCGTGAAGCTCTTCGCTGCCCCGTCGAGCACGGGGCTCGCATTCGCCGCGTGGACTGCGAGGGCACTCTGTCATCAAAGGGCGGACGTGGCGGCGCGGAAGAGCGACAACCTCACATCGACACTCCGCCCTGTGGCTGCGGTCGGCATGCAAGAGGTCCACGGGTCGGCCGTGCGCTTGCAGATGTTGATCGACCGCACGGGGCTAGAGTAGCATATGTTCACCAGTCCCGGCGGCGGGCCCAACGGATCTCTCGGCGGCGTCGCCGCCATCTTCACTCGGTCCTGGCGGGGGCGAGGGCGTCGTGCGTCGCTGCCATCATCGCATCGGGCGCGCGCGCGGTCTACGCGCGTCCGCGACCTCTCGCGGGACCATGCGGCGGCCGCGGCGGCAGCCAGCGAGCAGGATCTCCACGCCGTGGCGCCGGCGCCGCAGCGGCACTTCGCCATGGTCTCGGGCGGCTTCAACTACGGGGAGAACGCGGAGGTGGGGGACCCTCCTGTCCCTGGAGGCGGCCCGCGGGCTGCCCGTCACCCGCGGGGCAGGGCCTGGAATTGTGCCCTCGCGGAAGCGACTGCACGGCCCCGCGCGAGCCCGCGCGCTGGCGCCTTGGGCGCCAGATCGCCACGTCGATTGACAAGATATGGATCAGGACCCCTCGCTGGCTGATCGCGCAGACGCATCAACGCGGCCAGGTACACGGAGAATCGCACGGGCTTCATTTCACCTCCAGGACATATCGGACCACGCGCTGTTCTCGCTCTCTTGGACCCCCAGGCCGCCCAAGAGGCGACCCATCACTGGCGCGATCAACCTGGTGCCCAGCTTCGTCGCCGACATTCCGATGTTCACCGAGATGGTCGCTGCGTGCGAGGCCCAGATCCCCTTCCAGTCGCTGCCCCCGCCTGACTGCGCCCACTAACTGCGCGAATCTCCTCCGAGCTGTTGCCGCCGCTACCGGGGGGGCGCTCCTCAGGGGGGTACCTGGACAGAAGGCTCCGAGAGCTCTGACACGGCGGAAGCTCGGACGCGCCGCGAGGCGGCATGACCTGAAGCTCGCAGAGGCCCTCCTCCGCAACCACGCGTGAACGAACCAGATGATCGAGATCCGCCCCGCTCCTGGACCTGCTGGGCGAAGAGTGCATCTGCTTCAACCTGGAGAGTTCTCGCGCCGCTACTGACTGGCGCAGCGCCGCCAGGCGCGGGCGCAGCTGCGACGTCGCCAACAGGGCGTCGACGCCGAGCCGAGGGGGCGCGCCAGGGCGGCCCTCGGTCGGCAGCAGCGGGCCTTCGTCGCCGCGCGGCCCTCTGGGCGCCGACCTCGGTTCGACGCCTCCTGGGCGGCGTCGAGCTCCCCAACGGTTCCGTCGTCGGAGGGGGGGCGGACGGACGTCCAGCGGGCCTTGGCGGAACACTGGCGCGGCGTCTTCGGGGGCGACGCGCGGGCGCGGCAGCTGCTCGCCGACGCCAGGCCCCGCGAGCAGGCCACGGCGCCCGTGACCTTCAGGCGTGGGATGCTCGCGCCGCTCGATCGCACTCCGCCTCGACATGCGACGCGCAAGCTCGAGGTCCACGCGGGCTGTCTGCAGCGCTTCGGCATCCAGGGCGTGGGCTGGGCCCCCCTGCCGCCGCCGTCCGCGGGCGCCGTCGCCCTCGCCCTCCGCGGGGCGCGCGTGGCGGCGCCTGGCCCAGATGGCCCGGGCCCCGTGGCCTGGCTCGCTTCGCCGCTCGGAGTCCAGGTCCTGATGGTCGCGATAAAGTGGCAGCTCGATGGCCTTCCCACGCGCCAGGACTGGAACTTTTCCGCCGGCGCCTTCCCTGCCGAGGGCCCCCAAGACGAGAGCCCGCAGGGGGTGCTCCGCCGCGCTGGAGAGAGCGGGCCGCTGGCGCTGGAGAACTCGAGGAAAGTGATTACGTGGGCGCTCAACGCGCGCGCGAAGAAGGCGGCGGAGGAACGCCGCGTCGGCGAGCAGCGCGGCTTTCTCCGAGGGCGCAACTTCTGCGTCGACATCGTGGAGCTCGACGCGCAGGCGCGCGACGACATTCCCGCCCTCTTCTCCTCCAACTGGGGCCGGGCTTTCCCGGGCGTCGAGCGCGGCTGGCTCTTCTCCGCGCTGCGCGCCGTGGAGACGCCGCGCGGGCTCCTGAACGCGCTGCGGGTCAACTACGACGGCGTCGTGACCCTGGCGGCCCCCCGCCCCCGCGCGGTGCTCTACGCCGCGCGTTAGGGCGCGCTCCAGGGCGACCCCGCCAGCGGCGCGACCTTCGGCAGCGGCCCACGCCTTCGGCAAGGACCTGGAGACCCACCTGGGCCCGAAGCGCAGAGGGATCTCGAGGTGGTGCGCCGATGACCTCGGCGCCCTGGCGAGAGCCAGCCGTGGGCTCGCGGCCCTGGCGCGCGTCGTCCACGTGGCGCGGGCGCTGGCGGGCCCGCGCGTCAAGCCGGCCAAGTGCTTCGCCTTCCCGCTCGCCGCCCCCCTTTCGGGCGAGCTCGCCCTCCGCGCACGCGAGCGCCTGGCGGCGGCAGACCCTGCCTGGGAGACCTTCAATGTCGCCGGCTCCCTCGAGTACTTCGGCGCGCTGATGACGCCAGGGGTGACTCACGTGGCTCAGTGGCGAGTTCCGCTCACGAAATATACTGGCCGTGTCGGGGAGATCGCCTGGGGCCGTGCCGATGCCCACTCCGCCGCGTTCCTCTACCGTGAGTGGCGCCTCTCGACGCTGGGGCACAAGGCGCAGCTTCTCGAGGCACCGAGCGACCTCGAGAAGATGGAGCGCGGTTTGCTGGCGAGGCTGCTCCGTTTTCCTGGGTGCTTTCTGGGGGGCGGGGAATGGCGCGCACTCCCTGGGGTCGGCGGGCCGTCCATCCCGTCGGCCCCCCCCCTGCGGTGTTCAGCCGCGCTGGCGCGCGCAGCCGCGACCGCGCTGACGTCGTGGCGAGAGGCGGCCGCTGACCTCCGACGCGCTGCCGGGTGGAACTGCCGATCGCGCGCAAGGTCACTAAACGGCCGTGGCCAGCGCGGTGGCAGAGCGACGCCATCGCTGCGACCTTCGAGCAGGCGGTGAGCGCCCACGGCGGCGCGCCTCGCGCAGTCGCCGTCCTCGACCTCCGCCAGGCTCTCCTGCGCCAGACTGTCGCCAGGCACAGCGATTTGTTAACGCCCAGGTTGGGCGGATGGGGGGGGGGATTTGTTAACACCCTGGTCGGCCGCTGCGCCTGCCCGCCGCGCGCCCCCTGGCCATGCTGCAGGTGGAAGCGCGGGCGAGAGCCTTGAATTGGCGCCGCGTGCGCGCGCGCAGAGTCTCTTCTACTCCTCCCTCTTTCGATCGTCGCTTCCCGTGCCTCCTGCCCGTCCTCTCCTCCATCTGCGTCTGGGCACTCGTCTTAGATGCTCATTCGGGTCCTCTTCCGCCGATACTGCCGCGATCGACTGGTCGGCCGCCGAGTCGGCGATGCTTCGCGTGCCCCCGTCCTGGAGGAGCGCCGGCCAGCAGTAAGACGTGGGGGGTGGGTGGATCGCGGAGTCCAGGATGCGTAACTCGTACAGGAGCTGAGTCTGGGGATGTCCTGGGGCCCGCGACTCGCTCAAGCATTAGTATGCTGAGTGCTCGCCCATGTATATGCTCATCCGCAGGCAGCTCGGATATGATTTGGCCGCCCCCTTTTTGGGACCCCCTCCTGGCTCTCGGTCCCATCCACCGGAATCCCGAAGCCCGTAGATTCGCTGCAGTGCATTTTCGGTTGTATCGGTGAGCCCACCAAGAGAGTAAGAGTCGCCGTTTCCCCTTTAACAGTGATGACGCTCGCTCGCTCGCTCGGGCGGCCCTTTCAGCTGTCGTGCTGCCCCATCGGCGGTCAGCGCTACAGGAGGCCCTGCCCTCTGCGGCAATAGTTCGGGATGACACGCGGCCCTTCAGACGCTCCAGCCTCCTCCTCCTCCTCCTCCTCCTTTTCCTCCTCCTCTTCCCCCTCCTCCTCCTCCTCCGCCTACTCTGCCTCCTCCTCCTCCTCCTCCGCCTCCTCCTCCTCCTCCTCCTCTTCGTCCCCCTCCTCCTCCTCCTCCTCCTCCTCCTCCTCCTCGTCCCCCTCCTCCTCCCTCCTCCTCCCTCCTCCTCCTCCTCCTCCTCCTCCTCTCCTCCTCCCCCTCCTCCTCCTCCTCCTCCTCCTCCTCCTCCTCCTCCTCCTCCTCCTCCTCCCCTCCCCTCCTCCTCCTCCTCCTCCTCCTCCCACCTCCTCCTCCTCCTCCTCCTCCTCCTCCTCCTCCTCCTCCTCTATGTACGGTCGGAAGTTTTTGGGTAGCGTGTCGCTCCGCCAGTTTTAGCCCACCACGCTTCGATGCGATGCGCCGTCCACGTCCCAGTTCCCGCGCGTCAACGTACCGAGCCTTTCCCAGCCTCCCGCCCTACGGGGCGGAGCGGCATGCCATCCGCTTGCAGAGCATAGCGTGTCGCCGGGGCCGCCGCGGCGACACGCCGAGCAAACATTCCCAAGCGTAGGAGGGCACAGCCTGGGCGCGCACAGCGAGGGATCAAGCTGCCGTCATGATTGGACGTGTGTCCAAAGGGCTGGCAGGTGAGGGATGGGAAGGGAGGGGACGGAGGGGTGAGGAGGGGTGATGGTGGGGAGTAGGACGACGAAAAAGAGGGAAAGAGGGAGTAGAACTCTGGATTGCCATCCCACGCACAGCGGTTGGGGCACAGGCTGCTGCGATGCAAAAGAGCACGCAGGAAAACATGTTGCAGTGGCGAAGGTGGAAGAGGAGGCAGTGGAAGAGGAGTGCGAATGAGGAGGAGGGAAGCAGAGAGGGATGGAGCGAGAAACGGGTGTACATCGGCAGGGGTGCCAGATGATGAGTCCAGGACAGGTTGTTCTCGCCCAGGTGAAGCATGCGTTTCCTCGTTGCACTTGCATTGACGGATCTACGAAGCATGCTTAGGCAGGAGAGCCAAGGAATGCAGTTCGTATGCGGATTAACCATCTGCTTGCTTCGCTGCCGTCTGCATGCATAGCGGCCCTGCGAATTCAGGAGCTTGACCACGACCAGTCGGGTACCATCGACATGGATGAGTTCAAAGAGCTCGTTGGCTCTGGCAAGGCCATACTGCACCGAATGGGGAGGCAGATCGGGAGGAAAGGAAGGGGGGCTGGCTGGCGAGGTGGGGGGGGCGAAGGCAGGCAGGGAGGGCAGGGATGGAGAGAGGGAAGACAGAGATGGAATGGAGGGGGGGAAGCGAGGAACAAGGAGGGATGGGGTCAGGGAGCGTGGGAAGGGCGGGCATGGAGAAGGAATGAGGGCACAAAGAGGGAAGGCAGGCTGGCGGTAAGGGGCCGAATCGGGAGGGGGGGAGGGGAGGGCGGGGAGAGACGGGCCGAGCCAGCTTTGCCGAGTCGGGGGCCTCGTGGTGCATGCATGTGCATGCCATGAGGCGTCTGGACGGCATTATGTGTCGCTCGGACGTGCGCATTGTTCCTCGGCGAGGACCATCTTGGACCATCCCGCAGGCAGGAGAACGCACGGCACCGAGGCATGCACGAGAAGTAATGGACGTCCAGGCACTGGCAAGGGCAGACGAACCTCTCAAGGCCCATGCCGTTTTTTTTATCTGTTTTGGTTCTCCGTTTTGTGTGCGTGTTCGCCCGCCGTTTTTGTTACGTTTTGGTCCTGGTCACATCGTTTTGGGCACGTTTTGCGTTACCGTTTTTGTTCTGTTTTGGTCGACCGCAACGCCAGAAGTTGAAAACGGGAAAAAACGCCCCCAGCGTTTTTAAGAACAACTAAGGTCGACACGAGACGCTGAGGTGGGCAAGGCAGGATGGGCGTGCGAGGGAGGGACGGAGAGACAGCGGCGAGCCCGGCGAGCACCGCGGTGAGCTCGCGTCGATGCCCCCTGATCGCTTTGCCCCACTGTACGCCGCCTCCTGGCCCTCGGCTCCTGGCACGTTCCGACCCCTCCCCCTTTTCTCCTGAGTCATGTTCCTTCCTCCTCCTCCTCCTCCTCCTCCTCCTCCTCCTCCTCCTCTTCTCTCTCCTCCTCCTCTTCTCTCTCCTCCTCCTCCTCCTCCTCCTCCTCCTCCTCCTCCTTCTCCTCCTCCTCCTCCCCTCAGCGAACCCTTTCAGTGAGGGCTCTGTGCCGCGCCGACGGGCAGCGCGGCGTATCCCGTCAGTCCGACGGCCTCAGGTGGGCCCCGAACTCGTCCTTCCCGAACTTCTTTGCGACGGGCGCCCCTCCTTTGCTCGCGAGCTGAGGGGCGCCCGACCTTCTCTTGCCGCGTGGCAGCTCGGCTGAGCTGGCGGCCCCCGTATGTTACACGGGGGGCGGGCCGTGCCCCCCTTCGGCCCGTGGGCTGGGGACGGCCTCGCCGCGGCTCACGGTGCGCCGCCTCCTTCTCTTAGCGTGAGCTCCTCTAAGATGTCGTGCGTGCTGAGTACCGCTTCTGAGGACCCTGCTCCTGTCCTCCTTGTGGGCGGCTTCCTTGCATTCACAATCTTCAGAGCTGTTGAAGACCCTGCTCCTGTCTTCCTTTCAGCTGAGGTTGTGGTAGGCTCATCACGCCTCGCTGCTGAGGACCCTGCTCCTGTCCTCCTTTCAGCGGGCTGGTCAAGTCGAGGTGGTGGTTGTTGTTGGTGGGGTGGAGGTTCTAGGGTTGTTTGTCTTTGTTCTGCCTCGCAGCTGAGGACCCTGCTCCTGTCCTCCTTTCTGCGGGCGTGCCTGTTGGAGGTCGGTTCTGGGGACCCTGCTCCTGTCCTTCTTTTCGGTGTCTCCAGGGCGTGCTCTTCGAGCCTCGCTGTTGAGGACCCTGCTCCTGTCCTCCTTTCAGCGGGCTCTGTCATGGTTGCGTCGTGCCGCACTGCTGAGGACCCTTCTCCTGTCCTCCTTTCAGCGGGCAGGTGGTATCGAGGTGGTGATGGTTGTTGGATGGATGGCGGTTGCGGGGTGGGTGGCCGATCGGTGGTGAGTACCATGGGTTGTGGATGGTCGTCTTGAGTGTCTATGGGTAGGTCGTGGGGAGATCGTATTGTTGCTGGGGTTGTGGTGTGGGTTATGGGCGAACTTGAGAGGCCTCCGCGCACCGACTTCAAGTGGGGTGCGAGGCGGCCTCACCTCGCCCCGCTGTGGCTGGGGGTCACGGTGCCCTCGGTGGGGGGGGCGAACCCCAGGCCGGGTGCTTGCTGCTGCCGTCGGTGGGGAATGCCTCGGCTGCCTTCTGCTTCGCCGCCTGGGCGATCAAGTAAGCTCCTCCTTCGCCATGGGAGTGGTGGGGGTGGCGAGCTAGGGCGGACCGCGGGGGCGCGGGTAGTGGCCGTCCTACCCCCCCCCCCTGCCCCTCACCATCCCCCCTGGTAGGCGCGGGCAGTACTCGTCCTGCCCCCCCACCCTTCGAGCCCGTCTCGAAGTTTGATCCTTGCCTCACCAGGGCAGCGTTGACTTGTGGTGTGGTGTGGTAGGACGTTCTTTGGGTCGTGGGTTGTAGCTGGTCGGTGGTGCTTGGCAAGAGTGGAGTGAGTGTGTAATGCGGCTCGCAGGTGTCCGCTGACCTCTTGCTCGTGCGGCCGCTGCCTTCCGCAATACTACAAAACGTGGCGGCTTGTGCCTGGGGCGTTCCCTCGCCTTCGGGGCTTCCCCAGGACTTGCGTCCTAACGCCTCTTGCAAAACTTGGCGACGCCGCCTGAGGTGTTCCCACGCACTCGGGGCTTCCTCAGGACTTGCGTCCTGACGCCTTTGAGCTTGTCGTCGGTGACACCCTTCGTGGCGTTCGTCTTCGGCATGAGGCGGCACTTCGTCTTCTCGTTCTATGTAGTAGGCGTCGTTGGCGTTCAGGTTCTGGCTGGTGGGCGCGGCGGTTGCGGTTCTGAGGCCCCATCTAGCCACGATGTTGCCGTCGAGCAGGTCGGCGATGGCGAAGTCGATCTCCTCTTCGTTTGCCGCATGCATTATGTTGCGGAGGTCGTCGCGGGTGCCGTTGTCGAGGATCTGCATGGCGCCGAGGTCGTAGTGGTTCGTCGGGGTCTCGTAGACGGTCGTCAGGTTGGCGGTGTACCGATGTTCGGGAGTCTGTCTGGCGATCGACTTGGCCGAGATGGCTGCGACGAATGGTACGTTGGTCGTGACCGCCATGAAGATCATGCGCAAGACCTCTCGTGTGACGTCGTTGGCAGCGAATATCTCGACGGCGATGGTCTCGGGGACTTGAGGCGTTCCCCAGGGTGCCTCTGGGGTGCGCCGCTTGCTTGCTCTGCTGCCTAGAACGTCGGTTTCATCGTGTAGGTACCAAGTTCGTCGTGGGAACTCTACGTAGATGGCCGCTACCTCGCCATGTAGGATCCTGCGTTGTGCTCGCCGAAGTACTGTCGGTAGTTCTGAGGTCTGGCCATCGCTGGGGATTGCGATCTGTGTGTAGTCCAGGCCGCTGATGCTCGTGATCCCGTTGCTGGCCATGATCTGTTGGAGGTCGGCAGCCTGTCGAGGGCGGTCGGTGATGAAGACGATATCTTGGCGCTCGGCTGGTTCTGCAGGCGAGCTCGCGGGTGGGCTGCTTGGCGATGACTCAAGTCTGGCGAATACTTTGGGTAGGACGGGCGACGTCTCGAGGGGGGGCAGCGGCGTGACGTCGCACGGGTGGGCTGGCTTGTCGCTGAAGGTTGGGTGTCGTCCTTGCTTCTTGTTGGCGTTTGTGGCCTCGGCGATGGCGGCGAGGTTCTCTGCGATTTGCTGCTCCGTCAGAGGCTTCATCGTCTGGGTGTGCCAGGCATACCAGGATTTGCGGCAACGGTGAGCCACCGATAAGTGCTGGATGAGCCTCGGAAGAGAGTGGTGCTCGGTCTGGCAGCATCGGCACGCGGCACCTGTCGCCCAGAAGCGCGGGTCTTCGTGGTCTGGATGATCCCTGCCCATATGGATTAGCACGCCTTCCCTGGAGGCGGCTCGGCCGCAGGCGTAGCAGACGTACTTCTGGTTGTTGGTGTCGTCGCAGAGGTCCAGCCCTTCAGTTGCGTGAGCTGCCGAGGCCTTCTGGGTGTCCTTCTGGAGCTTGGCGCCTTGAGCTTGGTCGCGAATGTGGAGAATGTATGCCTTCGAAGCTGCCTTGACCGCGTTGGCGAATAGCTTCGGCTTCTGTCGGGCCCAGTTGATGATGTCGCGGTCGTGCTGGGTTTGGCTGGGCCACCTCTCTTTTGGTAAGTACGTTCGTAGGAAGTCGAAGTCTTCCCTGAGCTGGCGGCTCCATGTGCCATTTCGTTGGCGCGGGCCGTCGAGTAGCTGAAGTAGGACTGCTGGGGCATTATTCCGGAGTCTAGGCAAGTATCGTAGCCGCGCGATCGACTGGTGGGTGATGAAGTCGGGTACTCCTGTGTTGGCGATTGCTTCGGCCTCGGAGATGTGCTGGTCGGGTGAGTTGGTCTTGGGTAGTGAGGCTGCGACGCGGTATGGGCCCATGTACTTGGCGGATATGTGCTTCAGGTCCTTCAGGGTCAGGTCGCTCCAGACATGGCGGTTGCATGTAAGCGAGGATGTCGAAAAAGAGTGGGCGTGCTCGACCTTGGCTTGCTTTGAGAGCTTCTTGCGGCGGAGGATCTGCTTCTCAAGAGGCCGGGCTGCACCAAGCGCACGGTTGACCCTTAGGCAGATCTCTGGCCCCATGGCCCCGCCCGCCGAGATGATGGCACCGAGGGATTTCTTTTGCGTTACCAGCTGCACCTTGATAGCAAGTCCGTCCAATTCTAGGCATGCGATGCCCCCCTTGGCAATCCGTTGTTTCTCCTTCTTGGCCCCCGCGCGGTAGTGCATGAGGATGGCCTTGGTCTTTTCTGGGTGTGGCTTCAGGCCATGCTGGACTGCTGCTGTGCAGAGCCTGGCAGCTGCCAGAGCGGTCGTGTTGATCAGTTCGTTGGCGTTGGCGGTCGAGTTGTAGTCAGTGAGGTCGTCGACGAAGGACATGTTTCTGAGCGCGCTTCCTTCGTGAGGGGTAGGTGAGAAGAGAGGCTCACTGCAGGCCTCTATCTCGTGTCCGCCTATCTGCTGGCCGTGGGCCTCTTCCTCTCGGACTGCCTGGTCGATTGCCCTCAGCATGATGGCGAAGTGTATGTTGAAGGCGAC